ACACACACACACAGACACACACTCCTCTGAAGTGGGGTCGCAGTAGTTAAAAGAAAACAAGGTTTATGGCCGAAGGGTGGTTTGCTTGGATGAACAACACATTCGATGAGATCTGGAATAACAACCTTGTTTCCTTCCCTCAAACGGCCGCTGATGAAACCGATGAGAGCTTGATGGCTATAAAAGAAAAGAGTCCTTGTCTCACTCCAGGTTCTACGACGAGATAGGAACTCCTCTGCTCTCCGACATAAGGATCAACTACACAGAGGACTCCGTGCAGTACGTGACTCAGCACCTCTTCACCAACTACTTCAACGGTTCTGAGATCGTCATCGCCGGAAAGCTCACAAACCAAAGTGCAGAATCCCTTCACGTCCAGGTCACTGCCAGCAACAACGACAAGAGCATCATCCTGGAGACCGACGTGCCGCTGCGCCACCGGCAAAAAGAGACCGAGAAGCACGTGAAAGAAGCCACAGCAGCGATGGCGGCTGGAGCCAAGGCCCCGGGGTCAGGGGGCGCACAGGGATTAGGGGTCGCTCTGGGTTCCATCGCAGAGGACTTTGTGGAACGTGTCTGGGGTTTCCTGAGCGTCAAGGAGGGGCTGCGGTCGCGGCTGCGCAGCCAAACCAGCAAGGACAGGGAGGACCACACTCATCAGGTCACGAACCTCTCCCTCACCTACCACTTCCTCACTCCCCTCACCAACCTGGTGGTGGAGAAACCCGAGGTCCTGGAGGACGGCTCCATGGCCCCGGCTCCCACCGTCAAGCCAGCGTCTGGTGAGGCTGTCTCAAGCGCCAACGACCTGCAGAGCGACTTCGAGGACGGAAACTCGCAGCTGTCCGACACGAAGCCGGGCAGCCGGGCCTCATCTCCGAGCAACACAATTGGTGAGGTTAAAGTATACTACCCCATCATCACGACTGTTCCTGCTATACCAACAGTTTGACATAAATAGAAGAGAAAACTGAAAAACATGTATCACTGAACAGCTAATGTCTAATATCAAAGTCGCCCTTCGACTCATTTAATAAATATTCTCTTCCTTGCAGGTAAAGTTGAAAAGCGACCGGCCAAGAAATCCATCACCGTCTCCAAAACATCAGGTGACTCCACATCCTCTCTCGCACGTAAAACACTTCTTACATATTCCCCCTGCCCGTTTCATCTGACAGCCTCTGAAGCTCTGAAGCTACTCTGAGCGTATATGAAGTGTTTCCACAGTAAAACTTTAAAGATAGGGGGAGGGGGGGGAGGGGGGCAGCGTACAGTAGACTCTCTCTGTGTGGGCAGCCTCTAATTTGGACGTTCTTCAGACAGTTTGATTACACAGACGGAGAGAGGTGCAGGGATGTTTCTGAACATGACCTGGAAAGAGGAAAGAGCATGTAGGGTCTAATTGAAATACCAGCACAGGTCCCTACGTGGCACTTTAAACATGCAAGTGCGTGTTCACACACTCACACACACACACACACACACACACTCTGTGGGTAAAAGGGACAAAGTGGATGTTTGTGTGTTATACAGTAAAGAGAGGGACCCCATCAGAGGCAGTTAGTGACGGCTAATGGCCCCGTCATTACTGTTCCTCTATCATCTTCATCGCTGCTCCATTCATCTCAGCTAGTTCTCACAAACCTGAGGAGAATCCGGCTGAAGATAAAGTAAACTTAACCCGAGGTTGAAGTCCTTAGAACATCTGACAGCTACCTTCTCCTTTCATATCTCATCCTTTCAAACTGAAGAACTCCTTCTCTTATTTTACTGTTTTGATTTGAGGCAAATTAAATGAGCATGATGAACCAATGGGACATTTCCACCGTCAGTCCCTCTTGCTGTTGTTTGCGGCTAACGCGCTGTTTCTCTCTCTCTCTCTCGTCCCCTTTGACATCTTGGCAGCGGATGGTGACCCTCACTTCGTGGTCGAGTTCCCGCTCAGTAAACTGACCGTGTGCTTTAACATCAACGGTGAACCTGGACACGTCCTTCGCCTGGTCTCTGATCACAAGTACTCCGGTAAGACTCATGATCATCAAAAACATCACGAAAGAAGAATTTTCACTGCGAGGTCTGAAGTATTTTTCGCTTCTCCAGGCGTGACAGCGAACGGGAAGCTCATCGGCGCCCCGGCTCCACCGGGCAGCCACAAGCAGCAGCGAACCTACTTCAGCACCATCATCATCGTTGTGGATCGTCCCCGACGCGCTTACATCGAGGTGACCCCGAAGAAAGTCATCCTGGACGGCCGAGACCGCATGGTACTGCCCTGCAGCTCCACTGTGGCCGTGGACAGCGGTGCGTTGTCCGTGTCCATCGTGGGAAACGCAAACGTGACTGTGACGGTCGGAGGGAACGTCAGCTTCGTGATCTTGCTGCATCAGTACAAGAACCCGGCTCCCTACCAGAGGGACCATCTGGGGTTCTACATCGGAAACAGCAAGGGGCTGTCCCACAACTGCCACGGTCTGCTGGGTGAGTGTCAACGAGGGCTTGAGCTTTAATCAGTTTAACTCTTGAGACTGAAATTTAGCTTTGAACCTCTGATACGTTCCACTTCCAGGTCAGTTCCTGTATGAGGAAGTGGGACTGGCCGAGCTTCCCGCAGAGGGGGACGTGAAACCCTCTCAGGTGCTGAAGGTGAAGGGCCGCTCGGTGCCCGTGGTCCAGAAGAGCCGACGGATCTACAGCGGGACGCAGAGCGTGGACTGCTGGTTCGCCAGAAATAACGCAGCCAAGCTGATAGACGGACAGTATGAGGACTATCTGGCTCCACACATGTTCGACACGGGGGACGGGCCACACGGGACCAACAGCATGTGAGGCGGCAGAAGTGAAAATGTAATTATTCAACTTAACTCCTTTTACCTTGTATCACGACGCGTAGATCGAAGCAACAAGTTCCGAACATCAAAACATCTCTCCTCACATCTCCTCACCCACAGGCTTCTCTCCTGAATATATTTTTTTACTTTTTCCTAATAGAAATTTAATTAATGTGTGATTTTGGAAAATAATGTTGTACTTTGTAAATAAAATATTTAAAACACCACATTTTCAGGTTGTTTTCTGAAACATAAAAAAAAACACACAACCAGTAAAGTTGGAACGTGCATGTGTGCGTTTTTCTCACGTAGCGACCTGAAGATCACATCTGGTTACCACCGAGGCCGACGGTAGCTAACCCCTCGTCCCAGCACCAGTGACGCCACACACATCTACAACACACACACACACACACAGCTCCATAGTCCTCCCTGTCATCAGCTGGAGGTCACAGGGCTGCAGGCCCCGCCCACACAGGTGTGCTCCGACCAGGTCCCGCTCAGGTTGTCTGTCATCGCTCCGCTTCGCCCCGGCTGCCGCAGGAATTCAACACCAAACCACGGGTTCATGTGTCAGCCATCTTTATTCATCGCACAGATTCAAGAGATACAGAAGCACCGCGGTACAACCCGATGACGACACTTAAGGACGTGCTGTGTCGCTTCCTCCGCATGATCTTCATTTCATTGATTACAAAAAAAAAAAAATGTACACAAAGCTACGTTGGAATAGAAAATAAATCAGGAAACGTCAAACCTTCGAATCTAGAAATGTAAACAAGTAAACTGACACGTTTGATGATTAATATACAACAGTCACCTACTTCAATTCATCCTGAATTTAAATCTGAGCTCGGACGTTTCTCCTGTTTCCGAACTTAAAAACCTTCTATTCCACCGTCGTCACCACAGATCAGAACACAATCAAATATATATATATATAAAATATAAACAGAATAAATTAAGACATGTGCCATAAGATAACAGCTGCTGCGTCCTCCCACAGAGAGAACGACGACGGCCGAGCCCGTTCTTTTTATTTTAGAATAACTTTTCTGTTTTCATATTGACGACGTTTTGTAAAATGAGGAGGAGAATAAAAACCATTCCTCTCACATCTGTACACTAATTGGATTTAGTTGCCTGTGGACGGAGCCAGACCAATTTCCAGTCTTTACGCTAAGCTAAGCTAACCTCGCTACGTATGTAACAGACTGACAAGTTGTTTTGATTTTCTCATTTAATTCAAAATGTTAAAATACTAATTTGTCTGTTTGATTTCGACTTAATAAAAGTTAAATATATTCTCAGAAATGATTCCTTTATTTTTGTCCATCACGTTGTTTAACAAACATTAGAACTTCTCTGCTGTGTGTTACTGATATGAAAATCATTGTGTCACCTCTTAGCGTGACCTGGACCTTTTCTACAACCTTTAAAACAAATGTCAACCAATTTAAAAACACGAGGAATGACGATAATTACACCTTCATTAAAAAAGGCAGATGTGAAGTGATTATATTTGATGGAGTAAAGTTGAACAGCACTTTTTAATACATATGTAAAGATACTTCACCGGTTTGCTCCTCTTTGGAACGTGACCCACGATAAATGATTCTTTAGAAAAGGACAGATTTATTTCAGTCACTTGTTCTTTTCCGTGTGTTTCGCCCTGCGGCCGCTGCGCTCCGTGATAATCTCTCCTCACACGTTCAGGTGTGGTTACGCTCTGACGCAGAACGGAGGGCAGCGAGGTGAGACGATTAAAAAAAAAAAGAGCTTCTAATCCCCAGAATGCAGTTTGATTTCCATGCATCTACAGAGTCGACCTGTAATCACACCTTCAGTGCAGAAGAAGAAGAAGAAGAAGAAGGCAGCTGCTGTGTTCACATTCGCAGGTTAAATTACCTTATATATATTTAGACCTTTAATCTGAGCACATGAGGATGCAAGGCTTCTTGTTTTTGTCCGTGTTCGGGCTCTGAAGTGTGTGTGGACGGTGGATGGATGAGTCGGACGTCACCTGCTTTTACACCAACACCCAGCTGGGTCTTATTGGTCCCCCTGAATAATGCACATTGGGGACCGGTCCCTCCTCGTCGTCGTCCTCCTCCTCCTCCTCCTCCGACGCCTCATCCGTGTCCGTCTCGACGGTGAGCAGCACCTGAGAGAGGAGGTCAGGTTAAGAATGTGCGAAACCTTAGGTCCAGACATTTTCTGGAGTTTGTCTTTCACATATTAAGAAGCAGCACAAGATCAGACGTGTTCACAGCAACAACAAAGTGAATCGTAAACATCCTGAGATATTTGTATTCTTCCAGAATCACGTCCGTCACGTGTTTCCCAAAACATTTTGTTGATGTATTCTCTCATGCACTCACTTTTTCCAGATATTGTACCGGGAGAAGTCCTGGACATAATTCAGTGCACGCCTGATGGTAAAGTTTTTCACTTACAGCTCTTGTACTTTATAAATATCCTTGCACAAGCAGTACTTGCTTTTAATTCTTTAAAATTCTTTTTCTATTTATCATATTTGAATAAGCAAAACCAACTCCTGGGAAAAATCTGGGTTCTGCATTCCCGCCCTGAAGTGGAAAAAAAATCCTTGAAGTCTCCAGCAGCAGATTCAAATCCCAAGGGATCAAAAAAAATTCCACACGATGTTTAGGGCCTGACAAACGTCCATATGCTGCTTTATATAAGAATATGACGTGAGGGGAAGATGATGTAAAGAGTCAGATGAGGACGAGTGCTTTAATCTCACTGTTTCTAATAATTACTGATGATCCAATCACCCCCCCCCCCCGTAACCTCGATGTAACAGCAGCCACAACAAAAGCATTGTCCAACCTCGTCCAAGTCAATGCTCCTCTGTCCGTCGTCCTCCTCCGCTCCTGCTTTCCATAGCATCAGTGCGTGGAAACAAATCCTAAATGTCACTTTTATTCCCGGAGAGAAGGCTTGATTTATAGACGCCTGGCAGACGACCAAGCGAGGAGGAAAAAAAAAAGGAGCGAGGGATAAACTGTCTCCTCCCACCGAGCACGGGGGTCACGCAGCCAAATTACAAATTCAGATATTGATGCTTTTTTGTAACTTGGGTGAACTGAGCCTTTAAATGATTCTCATAAACACATCATGACGTCATTTGAAAACAAATCACAACAAACATTTTGAGGTGGTGGACGAGGTAGTATTAGGGTTGATATAAAAAAAAAAATATTTGCAATACTACAAAAACAAATTGTAATTTGAGTCTACATGTCTTTTTATAAGGGGAATAAGAATTTCTACAAGACGCCAACAAAGGAATAAAAAACACATTCTGTCTGACTCAGTGTTTCTTGGATTGAGTTCATCTGCGTTTGTTTCTCGTTCAAACAAGTGTCGAGAGAGAAAAGCTGTCCTGCCTGTCTGAGTGTGTGTGTGTGTGTGTGTGTGTTCATCTCCCAAAACAACAGGTGCAGTCGACACCCAGCGTGACTGTGTGGTCACATCGACGCCCATTTCCACATTTTCACACACATTAAAGTTTCCCTCTCATCATCAAAGACGAAAACCTTCAACTCTCACCATCGTGTTTTTGGAAGAAAGAATCAAAACATGGAAATCTGTCGTGAACCTAAAGCAGCTGCTTCGATTCCACCAGCGATGAAAAACCCAAACCAGCAGGGACCCACACTTTGCTGGACGCTCACCCGTGACTCCTCGCCGTTCTCCCAGGGCTGCGAGTCGGCCTTCTTCTCCGAGCTGTCGCAGGAGTCGTCCAGGCTCTTCGTCGTCTTGTACTTCCTCATCATCAGGCTGTCCACCACCCAGAACATGATGGACTGCAGGGGGAGCCAGAGAGACCGGGGGTTACTTATACCGCACCTTTTAAAAAAAATTAATAAACGGATTCTTCTCAAATGGCGAGCAGATGAAACTCACGTTGACGATGAAGGGCACGATGAGCATGACCAGCGCCAGCTCCAGCTGAGGGTTAGCGATGTAGCTCAGCAACACCTCCTGCAACTAGAGAAGAAGAAAAGAAAAGGTGGATTTACTGATACAGACGAGAAGAAGATCGACCATATGGACTCTTTTAAAAATTTTACTTTTTCTCGTCTGCAAAAAGCAGTTATAAAAAAAGATCTGAACAATACGTGCATTAAAATAAAATTAATAAAATACTATCCTTGCTGTAGAATTGAATCTGAGGAAAACTTTTTTTCCGGCTGATATGTTTTTTCGTGAGATAAATATTTGTATTTGTACG